CAAAGGGGGGGGGACCCCCACCCCCCTCCCTTTCCCCGATCCGTCGTCGGGTACCCCCCCCCCTGCCCCCATCTGTCGTCAACGACCCCCCCCCCTCCCCGCTGTCCCGGCCCGTCGTCGCGGAACCCAACCCACCCCTCCTTCCTAGGGGGGGTCCGAACCCCCCCCCTTCCCCCCTTTGGCCGCCCGCCCCATCCCCCCCCCCCCCCCTTTCGCCATGGCGCCCCCCGTCTCCGGAACACGACCCCCGCCACCCCCAACACGAAACCGCTGTTCCCAATTCGTATACACTCCCTCCCCCGGGCGACTGGCACCCAACCAGGAACAATGCGGGCAACCCTCCCCGCCATCCGTTGTAAACAACCATGCAAAACAGACTGTGCCTCCAAATTCGGAACATGCGCAGCCACCCCGATGCGGCCTCCCCCCAACACCCCTGTCAAAAAAAACATCCAGAGTACACTTGGCGGCGGCGGCGGCTGCGGCGGCCGCGGCGGCGGCAGCGGCTGCGGCGGCTGCGGCGGTGGCCGGCGGCTGCGGCGGTGGTGGCGGCGGCGGTGGCGGCGGCGGCGGCGACGGCGGCGGCGGCGCGGCGGCGGCGGCGGCGGCGGCGGCGGCGCGGCAGCGGTGGCGGCAGCGGCTGCGGCGGCGATTCGGCAGCGGGGGCGGCGGCGGCGGCGGCGCGGCCGCGGCGGCGGCGGGCGGCGGGGGCGGTGGCGGCGGCGGATGCGACCCCAGTAGCTGCCCATCCAAAGACGACTGCTGAATATGCTGAGGCTCGAGCCAGGCTCGGGTGTTACGTATGTGTTGGGACGGCGGGTGGGGGTGAGCGAGACGGCTTGCGGACGGGGAGGGACTCTTGTCCTCACCCTTACCCAACCCCAAACCTTAGCCCCAAACAGTACACTGAATACTCATTACGCACTACTCACTACCCACTACTCGCTACTCGCTACTCACTACTCACTTCTCACTACTCCCTACTCACTACTCGCGACTCACTACTCACGACCCACGATTCACTATCCAGTACACAGGGCTCACTACTCCCTATTCCTACTCACTACTCACTACTCACTACCAACTACTCACTACTCAATATCCACTACTCCATACTCACCATGCAAAACTCACGACCCACTATTCACAAAACACACATCACTACTCACAACCGCTACCCGCTATCCACTACTGACTACACACTACTCACCACCCACTACTTACTATCCACTACTCGCTACTCCCTACACAGTACCCGCTACTCACTACTCACTAATCGCTACCCCCTACACCCTACTCGCTACCCGATACGCACCATTCAATACCCACTACTCACTACTTAATACGCCCTCACTACTTACTACTCCTTACTCCCTACGCACTACTCCCAACTCACTACTCACTACCAAGTACTCAGTACTCAATACTCACTGAACAAGACTCATTGCCCACTACTCACTACTCACGAAACACTACTCACTACCCACTACCCACTGCTCACTACTGAGTACTCACAGTTCACTACTCACTACTCACTGCCCACAACTCACGACTCACTGTCCGCTGCTCGCTACTCGATACTCCCTACAAAGTACTCGCTGCTCACTGCTCACTACTCGCTGCCCCCTAATCCCGACTCGCTACCCAATACGCAATATTCATCACACACTACTCCCTACTCACTTGTCACTATTCACAAGTCGCTACTCACTATTCACAGTTCAATACTCACTACTCACTACGCACGACTCACTACTCACTTCTCGCTACTCCCTGCGCACTGCCCACTACGCAATACCCACGTTTCACTTCTCACTACTTCCTGCTCCCTACCCCCTGCTCACTACTCAATAATCACTACGCACGATTCACTACTCGATAACCCCCTACTCGCTGGCTACTTCCTCCTCACCACTCGCTACTCACATGATTTCATTCGCGACTCACTATTCACTAGTCTCTGGTCCCTACTCGCAACTCACTAGCCACCCCCCGCTCCCCACTCCCCACTATTCACTACTCACTCCGCACGACTCACTACCCACCCCTCGTTCCTCACTATTCGCTACTATCTGCTCACGACTCACTTTGCACTACTCACTACTCTCTACTCACTACTCTGTCCCGAAGCCAGACCCCCCCTCTTTTGCGGGAGAGGCCCTCTCCCCGGCCCCCTGTTCGGCGCAAAGGGCGGGAGAGGGGGGGGGGGGTCGAACCCCCACCGCTTTCCAGCGCCAATGGGGGGACGGGGGGGAGTCCGACCCTCCTTCCCCCCCTGTAAGGAAGGGGGGGAGAAGGGAGGGGGGGAAACGGGGGGGAGAGGTCGAAAATCTCACCCCCCCCTTTGAAAAGGGGGGGTTCTGCAAGCACCCCCCCTTTTTCAAGTACAGGGTGGTCCAGTGGCGCGCCCTCAAATTTGCAATCCGAGCGGGTCATCGGGATCGTCTGTCGTCGTTTCTCGGTTTCTCTGGATCGGATATGGAAAAAGTCTAGGGCGGGAGTTTCGAGTGTGAGTGACTCGCGGGGAAGTCTCAGGCGGGAGCCCCAACCCATGGAGTCCGCACCTCACATTGGTAATCCGAACGGGCCATCGGGATCCTGTCGCCGACGTCATGTCTGGGGTTTTCCCGTCATCGTTTTTCACTTCCGCTGGACTGAATACGGAAGGACTATCAGGCGGGAGTTTCGTCTCTGACTGAATCGCGAAAAATTGTCAAGCGTAAAGCCCTTCCCTATGGGGTCCGCGCTTCACGTTGGCAGTCCGAGCGGGCAATCGGAACCATGCAGGGATCGTCACTTTTCGGCTCCTCTGTACGAAAGAACTCCCAGGCGGGAACTTCGTCTGTGAGTGAACTCCGAGGGCAGCCCAAGCAAAAATAACTCCTTGTGGGATCCGCACCTCATGTTGGTAATCCGGGCGGTCCATCGGACCTTCGAACTGGTCGTCAACGTTCGGACCCTCAGGACTGAATACAGAGAGATTTCCAGAGGGAAGTTCGTTTGAGAGTACATTTGCAAAGAAATCTCAGGCGAGAGCCACCCTCCATATGGGGTCCGCACCTCATGTTCGTCATCGGGGGGCCATCGGAAAACTACATATCACTGTCGTCGTTCTTCGGCTACTCGGGACTGAATACGGCGGAGGTCTCCAGCGGGAGCTTTATGCGTGAACGGGTGGCGAGAAAGTCTCAGGCGAGAGCCCTTTTCCCATACGAGGTCTTCGCTTTATGTTGGTAATCCGAGCGGGTCGTCGGCACCGCGAAAGCATCGTCATTTGTTGGCTCTTTTGGACCGAAGTGCGACAACGAATGAATTGCGACAAATGGATAAACTGTTGTGACTGGGTGAATTGCGAGGACACCTAACGCGAGAGCCTCCCCCCTATGGTGTCCGCTCGTCATGCAGGTAATCCGACAAAATCATCGGGAATGTTTAACTATTGTTGTTTTTTTGGGGTTCCTCCGGAAAGAATGAAACAAATCTCAGGCGGGAACTTGGTTTGCGAGCGAATTGCGAGGAATTCTCCGGCGGGAAAACCCTCCCTACGGGGTCCACAATTCACGTTGGCAATCCGACCGGGTCGTTCGGACCGTGTGTGTCGTCACGCGTCGGCTGCTCTGGAGTGAATACGGAAGAGGTATCAGGCGGGACCTTCGTGCGTGAGCGGGTGGCAAAGAAGTCTCAAGCGAAAACGCCCGCCCTACGGGATCCGTCTTTCACGTTGGAAATCCGAGCGGGTAAGGGAAAACTTCTAACTGTCGTCACTCTTCTTCGCTCTTCGGAAGAAGTCTCGCGCGGGGCTTCGTCAATGAATGGATATCGAAAAATTCTCTGGCGGATACCCTTTCCATACGGGGCCCTCGGGTCATCGGCAAACTATGTACCAGGAGAAGCACTTGAGCATCCCAACACGGCGCATCACGAGGCCTTCCTCGCGCGTCTGTGCGAATTGCAAAACATTCTCAGACGGGAGCCCCCTCTTTCGTCACAAGTCGCCGGAGGAGTTCGAGAGGACAGCGGTGGACTCCAGGGCTGAGGCGGAGCAGCCCGCGGCAGAGCTGAACTTCGTGGCGCCTCCCGCCTGAGCGCGGCCACCGGTGAATCGGTGCCTGCGGGGCTGTCTTGTCCCAACGGCTTGCTCTCGCGCCCCAACGGCTCGCGGGGTTGTCCCAACAGCCGTTGCCCCGACTGCTTCGCGATTTTGCCATCGGGGAGCGCGCCCCTACCGGGCGCGGCGGCGTGGGCGCCGAGGGAAAATCGGCACGCGCCCCCCTGCCAGGAGGAAGGGAAGATGCATGAGAACACGCGGGATGGAGATGATGGGGAGGGGTCGAAGGAGGAGGAGGTGGAGGAGGAGGAGGAAAAGGACGAATAGGAAAAAGAGAAATTGAACAAGGAGGGAGACCAGGGGGAGGAAACGGAGGACGAGGGAAGCAAGGAGGATGAGGAGGCGCAACAGAGGGCGAGACGGGGGGCTTCGGCCAGGGCGAAGAGGAAATGACGAAAGGCAATCTAAATAGATTATCATGCGGGGTCCTACCGTCGGACGAATCTTGCTTTATCGCATGATGATCCAAAATGCTCCTCGTTGGCCCTCGCCGAAAAAATGCACACACACACCACTCCCATTGGCCGCCGTCGATATCGAACTCCATACCGTTCCGTGGGAGCCCCTGGCGCGGGACGCAGGCTGGCGAGGGCCGGGGGCCGCGGCGGCCGAGGCGCCGGTCCGAGAAGTCCGCGCGGACGACAGAGATTTTGTGTTTCTGTCATTCGTAGTGCCCTTGGAGGAGGAGGAGGAGGAGGAGGAGGAGGAGGAGGAGGAGGAGGAGGAGGAGGGAGGAGGAGGAGGAGGTGGAGGTGGAGGAGGAGGAGGAGGAGGAGGAGAAGGAGGAGGAGGGGGAGGAGGAGGAGGGGGAGGAGGAGGAGGAGCCCCCCGAGGCCGAGGGCCGGGGGAGGCCGCCGCCAGAGGCCGCGCCCTCCGCGGCCGAGGCGGCTGCCTTCAGCGTGGACTCGTACATCATGCCAGGCTTGTCGGGCGAGTCCTCGCTGTCCAGGACCTCGCCGCACGAGCAGCGGAGCGAAGCGTCCAACTCCTCCTCCTCCTCCTCCACCTCTTCCTCACTCTCTCCTCTCCTCTCGTACCTCCTGCTCCCACGTCTTCCACTCCCCAATCCTCATCCTCGTCCTCGTCCTCGTCCTCGTCCTCGTCCTCATCCTCCTCGTCCTCCTCCTCCTCCTCCTCCTCATCATCATCGTCATCATCCCGATTAATCCTCTCTCTCTCTCTTTCCTCAGCCTTCCATCCGTTCTCCGCCCTCTCTCCTCAGCCCTCCTCCCGCCTCCCTCATCCCCCGTCCCCTTTCCGTCCGCCCCCTCCATCCTTGCTCCTGAGGTCCTTGCCACCTCTCCCCCCTCCCTCAATCACCTCCAAAGAAAACAGAGTGGGGTACGAACGAATACCGATAAAGCAATATCGCTGCTGCTTGGGCCTCTCCCGGGCTGCGCCCTGACCAGGATCTAGAGGAGAATCCAGCGGCGGCGGCATGGGCTCTCCATGACGAGCAGCGGTTTCGAGTGCCAAAGCCCTGGAAGGCAGGCAACTGGACCTTTCGCGGGCATGACCCGACCTCCGCAAGGGCGCCCCGATCCCCGCGAGCCGCCCGCGGCAACGGGCGGGTTGCCCGCGCAAGCTGCGCGAGCATTTGAACAAAAAACATGCTGCGATTCATTATCCCACCTAACGTGCGAACTACGAAAGGACAGCCGCCAGCCGTTCCGAGCATCGCGAGTGCGAAAGGAACTGTACAACAACCGCACGATAACGCGTGAGAGCGGACCGGAAACACATAAAAAACATACAGGACCTGCGCGACACATGCAACTGTGGAACACTGTATGAACATCAAAGAAGGAAATGCGCGAAAACTGGACGGCAATCATAACCATGCGCAAGATGAGCGCGCAAAGGCATGAACAAAAAAACGACACAGGCACGGACAAGCACGGCAACGCAAGGAAAAGGCGCGGGAAAAGATCAAACACCAAGAAAGAACGCGAAGAAGCACGAACAATGGAAACAAAACACGAACCACAACGAAACCGACGCGAAACAACAAGGAACAGGAACGACAAAGGCACAAACAAGCGCGAAACAACACGAAAGGGGCACGAAACAACACGACCACGAATGAAGCACCAGAAAACACAAAAAACAAGAGAAACGTACGAACGCAAACAAGAACAAGCGAAATGAAGGAATGAAAAAAACACGAACAAGCAGGAAACAGGCACAGACAGGCACCACAAAACACGACACCAACACTGAAGAGCACAACAAAACACGAAGATGACACGGAAAACACATAACATAATAGATATACGGACAAACCAGAAACATCATCACAAAAGCATGACCAAGTACGAAACAATTCCAAAAAACACGAAACACACACACGCACGCGACCGCAAGCACACACGCACGCACACACAAACAAAAGCAGAGAAAAACAACTAACTCAGGACAAGGCACGAAACAGCGCGAAACAGGTCCGAACACCCGAACAACAACACCAAATGGGCGAACGAAACAGCACGAAGAAGGTCAACACAAGCACGAACAACCACGCTAAATACGAGGAGAGCACGGCACAGCAAGAACAACATACGACCAAAGCACGGCAAAACACGAAACAAGCAGAACGAACCACGACACACTACGAAACACACGCAAAAACAAGCGCGGACAAGGACGAACAAACGAGAAACCGCATGAGAAAGGCAAGCACAAACACGAACAAATATGACAGACGGGGATACGCAACAAACATGACAAGACATAATAAACTGCACCAAGCAAACTCGGGAAAACACGAAATAGGAACGAGGCAACATGAACACACATGAACAAGGCATACACAGGAAGGAAACACACTCGCAAAAACATGAGAAACAAAAAAAGACAAGGCGACACGAGAAATTATGACAAAGCGCAAAGCGGGTACACGAAAAACATGACAACAAACAGTTCTTCGAAAAGGTACGAAAGCACGAGCAACGCACGAACAAGCACGAATAATCACGAAACAGCCACAGAAACATATGACAAAGGCGTGGCCAAGGCATGAATAAACACGAGCAACGCACGACAAAGCACAAACCGAATATGGAAAAGGCACGAAAAACATGAGACAGCCAGGAAAAGGCACGACAAAACACGACAAATAATGAAAAAAGGAATGAGCACGCAAGACAAAACACGAACAAAACAAGACATTACATAACAAACACGGTTTGGCAAGAGAAAGCAAGCAACTAATGAACAAGTTGCGAACACACAAAACACACAGCACCAAGAACAAAGCAACGGAAAGAGAAAGGAATTATCCACAGAATGGCAGAAGCATTAAAAACGCGAAAAACTCAACACAACGCGAGAAAGCACCCACTCGCCTGCATGCCTCGGTCCGGGCGAAAGGGGGGAATAGCAAAGGGGGGGGGTGAGAATCAGCTCGCGTAGCTGATTTCCGCGGCGCCTCCCGGCGCCGGGAGGCGCCCATGTATCGAGGGATGGGTCCGGCGGCGGGGCCGAAACCAGCTGCATGCAGCAGATTTCGTACCCCCTCTTCCCCAATCCCCCCCTTCCGTTCGAGCCGAAACAATGCCTTGGCACGTCGGGCGAGCGCCCGGGGCATGGTCGCGCCTAAGGGGGACCTCCTGGGCCTTCCCCGGAGGCCTGCCCTCTTGCCCGGCCTGCGCCCGGCCCAGGCGCCAGCGACAACCCCGAGGAAGGAGAGGGGATGACAAGGGGAAAGGAGGCGGGAAGGGAGGGGAGGAGGGGAGAGGAGACGAAACCAAGACGAGGATAACAATCGGGTGAGGATAGATCGAGAATCTCTGAGATCCAGCGGCTCTGGAGGACTTCTCGGGCGCCGCGGCCTTCTCAGAGCGTCCGAAACGCTCTGAGAGCGTTCTGGAATGCTCTGGAACGGAAGTATCCTCGTCCTACTTAGCTCCGTCCGAGGGACGCCTTCTACGCTTTGCCGACGCACCCCTGCAACGCCTTCCGCTGAGTCGGCGCGGCCGGGCGGCCCCCGAGCACCAGCGCAGAGGGGGGTGGGAGGAGTGCGAGGTGGGGACTCGTCCATAACTGGGACGCAGAAGGACATGCTGGGACTACGCTCGGGGATGGACAGTACCCCCTTGAATGAATCGTGGTCTAGCGAAAACTTCCTCGGGCCCAAACCTGGCGGGCCGCGGCGCCCCCTCGAAAACCGACAACGGACAGTTCACTGATCGACGTGGCAGGGTGGGGACTCTGTCCACCCCCGAGGAAAAAAAAACTGCATCAACGCAAACTTTTGGAGGTCCGCTCGGATGTCCTGGATCTGGGTTAGAACCCACTCCAGCGCGCCAGGGGCGGCGTTGGAGGCGCCGCCAGGGGGCCCCAGTGCGGATGCAATAAATCCGTGCGCAGCGCCAGAAGCTTATGTTTATGGCGTTTTTCCTCGTCGACTTCCCCAAGCTCTGGGAAGTTTTCAGGGTGGGGGTGCTGTCCACCCCCGATGTGCCACCCGGTGGAGGCGAACGTCGGAACGCACCAGACCGTAGACGCATTCTGCCAGATCGCTGCCCAGGGCAGTGTGGCTGGAATACACCCGCCACCGAGCACCTGTACTGTAAGAGCTCCTGGGCGAGCGCGAGGGCGTCGCAACTAATGGGGGAGCCGACGCACACAGAAACGAAAACAACGTATGTGCCTGTGGGTAATGCCCGAGAGCCGCCGCCAGGGTTGGATCGCTCTTCGGCAGGGCTGGACCAAAAAACGTTGGGTTTCGTTTTGTTTTCGATGTTGATGTTCGTTTTGCCCCGTCTGTTTTCCTGTACACCCCCCTGCCAAAACCGAAAAAAACAGAACCCAGCCGAGATCCGACAACACAACGTTGAGGTTCAGCCCTGCTCTTCGGGCCCCCCCTCAGCAGGCGGTGGACACGGATTGTGCGTGTGTGTTAACCAGCTTCGATCATATCCCTATCCCTAAGGTGGGTGAGCAAAAAGCGAGGACAATCTTAGGGATGTGGCCTCAATAACTCAGGAGATCCTGAAGATCGGCATCGAGGCGAGGTGGTGCCAAACACAGGGACAGGGATATGCTTCAAACCAGCAGAGGCCTTAAGAGGGCACAGCGGCTGGCAAGCACCCCCGGGGCGACGAGACCCTGCGGGAGTCGACACGCGAAACACACGTTGGGCGCCCGAGTTATCCGGGGTAACTCGGGTCAAGGGTAACTCGGGTTTGGACTCCCGAAAAACGAACCCGAATTATCCCTGACCCGAGTTACCCCTGATGATTCGGGGCTCTGGACGCCCGAGTTATCCGGGGTAACTCGGGTCCGGGGTAACTCGGGTTCGGATTCCCGAAAAACGAACCCGAGTTATCCCTGACCCGAGTTACCCCTGATGATTCGGGGCTCTGAACACGCGTGTCCCCCACTCGGCCTTCGGCGACAAACGCGCCCCCGCCCCTCGGCCCCGGTGGCACCCGGGGCCCGTCTCTGGGCAGCGCGGGGCGCCGCCGCTGCTGACGCGGCTCATGCGCTTCGACTTCGCCCGAAGAGGAAGCGCGAAAAAGGGCAAGCCCAGAGAGGATCCAGGCCGATGTCTCCTCCTCCTCCTCCGCCTCCTCCTCCTCCTCCTCCTCACCCGCTTCTCCTCTTCCTCCTCGTCGCCGCGGGGCCTCCAAACTTCGCACGACCACCTGGCAGCGGCGCGCGCGCGAGACGCATGGCCTTGGCCTTGGCACAGTCAGGATCTGAGGAGTCTCGGGCTCGCGCGGAGGTGGTACATGTGCGGGGGGAGTTGGGGCGATGTAGAAGATGGGAAGAAGGAAGGATGAGAGAGGATGGCCAGCAACTGGAATAGCTCCAGTTGGAGGGTCGTCTCGCGGTGAGGAACGGCAGGTGGGTCCGTACTTGGGCCCGGAGTGGACCTGCTGGTATTTTCCCCACGTGCTAACTGGGGTTCTAAATTTCTTCCCACGCGCGTCGCACCCGCGATCCTTACGCCACACACACACACACCACACACCACACACCACACACCACACACATCAAACACACACCACACTACAAACACCACATACACCGCACCGCACACGTCGGACATCACACGCGTCAGACACACACACACACATTCACACACACACACACACATTCACGCACACACACACATTCACACACACACATTCACACACAGACAGACACACACACAAACACATACAACACCACACACACACCACACACACACACAGAACACGCGCCCGAGACACACCACAGAGGGTGCGCAAGGGGTCGGGGAGCTATCCGCGCCAAGCTCCCAGATCGTGTCAGGCGTGGCCTTCTCTCGACACCAGGCAGGGTGCACAAGGGGTCGGGGCACTATCCGCGTCAGGCCCCTCAGGGCGCGGCTCGCGTGAAACTTTCTGGAAACTGGAGAAGGTGCGCAAAGGGAAGGCCGCTATCCATGTCAAGCTCCCAGGGCGCGACAAGCGTGGCGTTTTCTGACACCACAGAGGGTGCGCAAGAACAGTGGGGGCGCTATCCGTGCCAAGCTCTCAGGGCACGGCAAGCGTGACACTTCCTCGAAACCAAAGGGGGGTGGGGGCGCTATCCGCGTCGGACTCCCAAGGCGCGGCAAGCGTGGCACTTTCTCCACATGCAAAAGGGTGCACAAGCGGTGGGGGGCACTACCAGCGTAAGGCTCCCAGGGCGCTATCCGTGTCAGGCCCCGAGAGCACGGCAGGCGCGGCAAATTTCTCGACATCAATGAAAATAAGCAAGCATCCCTGGCAAGGCAGGCGGGGCACTCTCACGGAACAAAAAGGGTGCGCAATGGGGTGGGGGCGCCATCCGTGACAGGCTCGCGGGCGCGGCAAACGTTGCACCTTCTCGACACCAAAGGGGGTGCACAAACGGTGGGGGCACTACCCGCGTCAGGCTCCCAAGGCGCGGCAGGCGTGGCGTGTTCTCGACATCGGAGAGGGCGCGCAAGTGCGTGGGGGCGCTGCCCGCGTCAAGCCTTCAAGGCGCGGCAGAATGACACCTTCTCGGCACCAGAACGGGTGAGCAAAAAGGTGGGGGTACTGTCCGCGTCAGTCTCCCAGGGCGCGGTAGGCGTGGCACTTTCTCGATGCCAGAGGGTGTGCGTGAAGGGTGGGGGCGCGATCCGCCCCAAGCTCTCAGGGCGTGGCGTGCGTGGCATTTTCTCCGCACCAGAGAGGGTGCGCAAGGGAGTGGGGGGCTAGGCGTAGTAACATTAGGTAGTAGCAGTAACAATAGTAGCTGTAATAGTCGTAGTAGTAGTAACAGTCGTAACAATAGTAGTAGCAATAAAAGTGATACTAGTGGTCGTAACAATAATACTGATAGGGGTAGTAGTAGAGGTAGTAGTAGTAGTAGTAGTAGCAGTAGTAGTAGTAGCAGTAGTAGTAGTGGTAGTAGTAGTGGTAGTAGTAGTAGTAGTAGTAGTAGTAGTAGTATTAGTAGTAGTAATAGTACTAGTAGCAGTAGTACTAGTAGTGGTAGCCGTAGTAGTAGTAGTAGTAGTAGTAGTAGTAGTAATAGTAGTAGTAGTAGTCGTAGTAGTAGTAGTGGTAGTGGTAGCAGAAGTAGTAGTAGTAGTAGTAGTAGTAGTAGTAATAGTAGTAGTAGTAGTAGTAGTAGTAGTGGCCACCGTCGTAGTAGCAGAAGTAGTAGTAGCAGTAGTAGTAGTAGTAGTAGTAGTAGCAGTAGTAGTAAGAAACAGAATGACCATATTGGTTGTAATAGTAATAGTGGGAGTCATAGAAATCCCGGAATCGTAGAAGTAGAGCCGTAGGAACAGTCATAGTAGTAATAGTAGTAGTAGTAGTAGTAGTAGTAGTAGCAGTAGCAGTAGTAGTAGTAGTAGTAGTAGTAGTAGTCGCAGTAGTAGTAGTAGCAGTAATGGTAGTAGTAGTAGTAGTAGTAGTAGTAGTAATCGTAGCCGTAGTAGGAGTAGTCATAGAAGAAGTAGTAGTGGACGTATGGATCGTATGTGTAGTGGTAAACATAGGAGGAGTAGTAGCAGTAGTAGCCGTAGCAGTAGCAGTAGCAGTAGTAGTAGTAGTAGTAGTAGTAGCAGTGATAGAAGTAGTAGTAGTAGTAGTAGTAGTAGTAGTAGTAGTAATAGTAGTAGTAGTAGTAGTCGTAGTCGTAGTAGGAGTAGCAGAAGTAGTAGCAGTGTAGTAGCACTAGTAGTAACAGCAAGAACGGAATCACATGTAATCGTAACAATAGGAATCCTACTACTAACTGTAATGGTAGCCGTCGTCGCCACAACCCCCATAGTAGCAGTAACAGCCACGGTGGTGGTAGAAGCAATCGTAGTTATAGTCGCCGCCGTCGTCGTTAATGTCGTCGTCGGCAAAACTTTAATTGTAGTCGTAATCGTGGTAGTAGCAGCCGTAATAGTGGTAGTCCTGCTAGTACTAGTGGTAGTAGCAAGCGTAATACCAATCGTAGTCGTATTAGTCTCAGCAATAGTATCGGCAACAAGAATAATGGCAAACGTACTATAAGTCGTACTAGTCGAAGGTGTAGTCTTAGTAGCACCCGTAGTCATTCTAGTAGGAGCAATCGCAATAGTAGCATCAGCAACGGCAGTCGTAGCAGTACCAATAGTAATGATAATCGTAGGCGTGGTAGAGGTCGCAATCGTAGTAGTAGAAACGTAATAATATAGCCGTAGTAGTAGTAGTAGTAGTAGTAGTAGTAGTAGTAGTAGTAGTAGAAGTAGTAGTAGTAGTAGTAGTAGTAGTAGTAGTAGTAGTAATGGTAGTGGTAGTGGTAGTAGTAGTAGTAGTAGTAGTAGTAGTGGTCAGAGAAGGTGTAGTAGTAGTAGTAGTAGTAGTAGTAGTAGTAGTCGTGATAGTAGAAGTCGTCGTAGTAGTAGCAACCATAAAACTAGTATTAGTCGTCGCCGTCGCGGTCGTAAGAGTAGTAGTAGTAGTAGCAGTAGTAGTAGTAGTAGTAGTAGTAGTAGTAGTGGTAGTAGTAACAGTCGTAGTAGCAGTAGCAGTAGTAGTAGTAGTAGTAGTAGTAGTAGTAGTAGTAGTAATCGCTGTAGCGGTAGTAGAAGTCATAGTAGTAGTCGTCGCCGTCGTCGTCGGCGTCGTCGCAATAGTGAATGCACTAGTCGAGGTAAACGTAATTGTGGTTACAAGAAATTCAAAAAATTGAACGTAGTAGTAACAGCTGATAGAAATATTAATAGCCGTCCTATTCGTAGTAAGAATAGTAATAATAGTCGCAATAGTAGTCGCAATCGTAATAGTTGCGGTGGTAGCGCTAATAAAAACAACAATCTCAATAATCAAAGTTGTAGTCTGAGGAGTAGCAGCAGTAGTGAAACGGGTAGGTGTAAAACTAAAAGTGGTAGCTGTAAAGGAAAAGTAGCAGTCGCAATATTACTCGTAGTACTAGTCGTAGTAGAAGAAGAAGAAGTAGTCTGGGTAGGAGTAGTCGTAAAAGCAATAGAAATATAAATTGAAGTGGTAGTCGTAGCCACCGTAGTCGCCGTAGTAGTGGTAGTAGTAGTCGTAGGCGTAGGCGTCGTAAAAGTAGTAGCAGTAGTAGTAGTAGTAGTAGTAGTAGTAGTAGTAGCACTAGTGGTAGTAGTAATAGTAGTAGGAGTAGTAATAGTAGTAACCGCACTGGAAGTCGACTAGTAATAATAATAATAGGCGTAGTCGCGATCGTAGTAGTAGAAGTAGTAGTAGTAGCAGCAGTAGCAACAGGAGTAGTAGTTGTAGTAGAGGGATCAGTGCGGAATCGTGGATGTAGTGATATGATTCGTGGTACTGGTTGTGCACGCATGATATAAAAATGTGTATGTGTGGTTGCTCGGTCGTGTAATTGATTACCACCTACCAGCAACTCAGCCCAGGCGACACCCGATGCGGCAGGAGATCCTCAACGGCTATACACCGTTCGCGATGGGGGTCTGGAGAGCCACGACCGATGATGGGGGGGGACACGATGGACCACCGATGTCGAAGGCATGGCTCCCTCACCAAGTGTTGACTGTAACGAATGTATCAGCCAATGTAGCGCACAAGCGGGACACCAAGCTTCAAAAGGGCAAGCTCAAAGCTTGAGACACTAGCTTCACTTTAGCTGCTCGAGCTTGAGCTTAGCAATCCGCGTGAGAGCCAAGCGTGTCTTGGGGCGGTTCAGGAAGGGTTGAAGCGCACATGTCGGCGACCACCAAACGATAACAGTCGTTTAGCATTGCAATGTCTTTGCATTGCAGTTTTGTCTGCATTCCAATATGTTTGCGCAGTGGTGGCCCTGCTCGAGAGTAAGGTTAGAATTTCGCGTGGGAGCCAAGCGTGGTTTTGGGGAGGTGTAAGGAGGATCGAAGCACACATGCCGGAGACCACCATACGAAAACGGTTCGTTATGCATTGCATTTGGTCTGCATTGCAATTGCGGTCCGCATTACCCATGCTTTTGCGCTTTGATGGCGCTGCTCGAAATTGACCTCAGGGTTCCGCGTGAGAGCCAAGCGTGGTTTCAGGAGGTGCAAGGAGGGTGGAAGCGCACATGTCGGCGATCATCACACGGAAACAATTGTGTGTGCATCGATTTTGTTTTGCATTGCAGCATTGTGGCGCTGTAATATTGCTGATCGAGCTTGCGCTCAGGATTTTGCGTGAGAGCCAAGCGTGGTGTTTGAAAT